TGAAAACAAAAACACAATTATAAGTTTCTGTATCAATAAATACAAAAATACAATAATAATAGCATAAACATGTCTTACGGCTATAGTGTGAGCAGTCTGGCACCGTATGATTGATCATCTCAGGTGGCATGTCGATGGTTCGTTGTTCGTAAAGGTAACACGTCTTTTTCTTTTCGCAGTAGTCAAAGGATCTGGAAGGAAAAATTAAGTAAAAGAATTAATAAGTAGAAAAATGAATGAATTCTCTCTCTCTCTCTCTGTCTGTCTTTTCTTGCAGTAGTCAAAGGATCTGGAAGGAAAAATAAGTAAAACGAATGAATAAGTAGAAAAATGAATGAATTTTCTCTCTCTCTCTCTCTGTCTCTCTTTTCTTGTAGTAGTCAAAAGGATCTGGAAGGAAAAATTAAGTAACGAATGAATAAGTAGAAAAATGAATGAAGGAATAATTCTCTCTCTCTCTCTCTCTCTCTCTCTCTCTCTCCTCTCTCTCTCTCTCTCTCTCTCTCTCTCTCTCTCTCTCTCTCTCTCTCTCTCTCTCTCTCTCTCTCTCTCTCATGAAAGGGAACCCGGGGCATTCCTTGCAAAAAGGGAGTATTTTAGAAATAAAATAAACAAACCGCCTGTCACACCAATAATAACCATTGTAACAAAATGAATATAATTAAATAAATGTTTTCTGCTAACCTTAATAATATTATATCAACAATATCAAATTATGATAACTTTCCCATAATATCAGTAATATTAACAAAAACAAACAAATGAATAATAATTTTTTTAAGTATATATCACGAGAAAACACGAAAAAGCCAAAGAAAAGCAATTATATAACAAGAAAATAAATTAAAACCTCACCTGCAAGTGATGGAGGTAGCGTTCGAACAATGGTAGGCGCACTTGTCCGCATCCGTGCTTTTGATTACCTGATCGGCGTCGCCCGTGTACACCGTCCCATCGAGCTTCTCGTAATCGTCTGTGTGGCTTCCTGGGATTCGGACAAGGGATATTTTTTTGTTTTTGAATTGTTATGAAGGATAAATCAGACTTTTTTTAAAGATAAGGATTAAATTTTTGTTTTTGAGATGTTATGGATAGATATTATTATTTTTTTTAAGATAAGGAATTTTTTGTTCGGAATTAAAAGAGGTAAACAACTAAACGGAAATTATAAGGGATTTTGTGTTCGTGTGGATTTTTGTTCGTGGGATATTTTGGTAGTCTGGAGTATAGATATTATACGATAAATAATTAGATGATAATGAAATGGGATCAATAGGCTCGTAATACACACACACACACACACACACACACACACACACACACACACACACAACACACACAACACACACACACACACACACACACACACACACACACACACACACACACACACACACACAACACACACACACACACAACACAAACACACACACACACACACACACACACACACACACACACACACACACACACACACACACACACACACACGTACCACACATCAAACAGCCCCCCCCACACACACAAACACAACCCCCTCCTCCCCAGCTCCCCTACTCACTCCTCCATCCCCAACCTTTACCCCACCCCTAACCCCCACCCTCCCCCATCACCCCCCTCCCCTAAGCCCCCTCTCCCCCTCCCCTTCCATCTCTCCACCCCAATCTCAATGCCCTCCCACTCATCCTCCTCTCCCTCCCCACCTCCTGCCCCTCCCTCCCGCCATCCCCCACTTACGCCCCCACCCGTCCCTCACCCCAACCACAACTCCCTCCTCACTCCCCCTCCCCTCCCTCAACCCCTCACACTCCTCTCCACCCACCTCCCTCCTCCTCCTCTTCCCCCACTCCTCCTCCTCCTCCTCCTCCCGCCCCTCCTCCTCCCCCTCTCCACTCACCTCCTCCTCCTCCTCCTCTCTCCACCACCTCCCACACTCCCCCCCTTCCCCTCCTCCTCCTCCTCTCCACCCACCTCCTGTCCCTCCCCCTCCACCCACCTGCCGCCCCTCCTCCTCCTCCTCTTCCACCTCCTCCTCCTCCACCCACCTCCCGCCCCTCTCCTCCTCCTCCTCCTCCTCCTCCTCCTCCTCCTCCTCCTCCTCCTCCTCACCTCCTTACCCTCTCCACCCATCTCCTCCTCCTCCTCTTCCTCCCCCTCCCTTTCCCACCACCCACTCCCGCCCTCCCCTCCTCCTCCTCCTCCTCCCCACCTCCCACCCACCTCCCGTCCCCCTCCACCCACCTCCCGCCCCTCCTCCCCCACCTCCTCCTCCACCCACCTCCCGCCTCCCTCTTCCTCCTCCACCCACCCTTCCCCCCTTCCCCACCCACCTCCCCTCCCCCACCTCCCACTCCTCCTCCCGTCCTCCCTTCCCCCACCTCCCACCTCTCCCTCCTCCTCCTCTCCACCCACCTCCCACACCTCCTCCTCTTCTCCTCCTCCTTCTCCTCCTCCACCACCTCCCGCCCCCTCTCCACCCACCTCCCTCCCCCACCTCCCTCCCCCTCTCACCCACCTCCACCCCTCCCTTCCCCAACCACCTCCCTCACCCCCCTTCCCTCCACCCACCTCCATCCACCTTTCCCCTCCTCCACCTCCTCCTCCCTCCCTTCCCCACCTCCTCCACCCACCCACCTCCCACCTCCACCACCTCCTTCCCTCCCTCCTCCTCCTCCCTCTTCCACCCACCTTTCCCTCCCACCCACCACTCCCTCCACCCCACCCCTTCCTCTCCACCTTCCCTCCCTCCCTCCACCTCACCTCCTCCCCTTCCCTCCCTCCTCCTCCTTCCTCCTCCTCCACCCCTCCACCTCTCCCACCACCTCCACTTACGCCCGACGACCAGCAGTCCGTCTTGCGCACGACGTCGACCTCCTGCACCGGCGTGTCGACCACGAAGGAGGCGAGGAAGCAGGTCTCGGAACCGTAACAGTAGGAGAATGTCTCGCAGCGGAAGCCCAGTTGCTTCTCGCAGGCGGCGGCGCAGAGGGCGTAGCTGATCTGTTGGGGAGGAGGGAGGGAGGAGGGGGAGGGGAGGGGGGTGAGGGAGATGGAGAGGAGGAGAGGGATAGGAGGGAGAGGAGGAGGGGGGTGAGGTTGGGGGGATAGGAGGAGGGGGGTGAGGGAGAGGGAGAGGGAAGGATAGGAGGATGAGGGAGGGAGGAGAGGGAGAGGGAGAGGAGATGGAGGAGAGGGGTTAGGGAGAGGGATTGGGATAGGAGGAGGGGGGTGAGGGATTGAGAGAGGGAGAGGGAGAGGAGGAGGGGGTGAGGAGGGAAGATGGAGAAGGAGAGGGAGTGGGAGAGGGAGGAGGTTGAAAAAGGAATGGGGGAGGAAGAGGAGGGGGTGAGGGAGGGAGATGGAGGAGAGGGGAGAGGGAGGGAGGTTGAAATAAGGAATGGGGGAGGAGATAAGGTAAGAAGGCGGGGGATAGGAAGGGAGAATAAGGGGAGTTGAGAAAGAGAGAGGTCACGGAGAGGGAGAGGTAGAGGAGAGGAAAAGTATAAGTGAGTAGGAGAGAGAAAAAGAGAGAGACAGAGTTAGACAGAGAGATATGGAATATCATATATACGGTAAAACAGATAAAATGTAATTCTCTTATCTATATCAAATATTATATATATATATATATATATATATCATATATAATATATATATATATATATATATATATATATATAATATATATATATATATATATATATATTATATATAATATATATATATATAATATATATATATATATATATATATATATATATATATATATATATTATATATATATATATATATATATATATATATATATATATATATATATATATATATATATATATATATATATATATATATATATACATATAGTGTGTCATGCATCTTATTTTCCCCCAATTTTTTAATCTTTAAATCCATCTTTGATTCATATATCTACTCATTGACTCATTCCTGTCCTCCTTCCACTTCCCCATCCATCCATCCCTCCCCACCACCTCCCCACCTTCCCCTCCCTTTCCCTCCCCTACCCTTCCTTCCCCTCCATCCATTTTCCTTCCCATTCCCCAAACCCCACCCACTCCTTCCCCTCCACACCCACCTCCCCATCTTCCCCTCCCCTCCGATTCCCCAAACCCACACCCTCCCTCCCCTTCCCCAAACCCACCCCACCCTCCCTTTCCCTCCCCACCCCCCCCCCCACCCCCCCCCTCCCCCATCCTCCCCCTCTCCCCTCACCCACCCAACCACCTTCCCCTCCCCTTCCCCCACCCACCCCCCTTCCCTCCCCTTCCCTCCCACCCTTACCTCCCCCCACACCCCTCCCCTCCCCACCCTCCCTCCCCATTCCCCTCCCCAAACCCCCAACATACCTTCGGCAACTTAAGGTCCGTGTACTTCTCCACCTCCCTTCCCTCCCTTCCCTCCCCACCCTTTCCCACCAACCCTCCCATCCCTCCCCTCCCACCCCACCCCACACCGTCCCCTCCTCTCTCCCCTTCCCCCTTCCCCCGTCTCCCCACCCACCTTCCCCTCCCCCTCCACACCCCCCTCCACACCTCCCCAAACCCCCCACATACCTTCGGCAACTTAAGGTCCGTGTACTCTCCCTTGAGGTAGCCCTGTTTGTAGGCCACGTGGAAGTCGTCCTCACCAAGTCCACCACCCTCCCTTCTCCCCCACCCCTCCCACCCTTCCCATCCCCCATTCCCCCCATCCACATACCTTCGGCAACTTAAGGTCCGTGTACTTCTCCAACCTCCCTTCCCTCTCCTCCCCTCCTCCCAACTCCCTTCCCACCCACACCCTTCCCACCTCCACCTTCCCTCCCACCCCAAACCCCCAAACCCCCCACATACCTTCGGCAACTTAAGGTCCGTGTACTTCTCCTTGAGGTAGCCCTGTTTGTAGGCCACGTGGAAGTCGTCCCTCACCAAGTCCACCACCCTCCCCTTCCCCCACCCTCCCCTTCCCTCCCATTCCCCTCCCCCAAACCCCCACATACCTTCGGCAACTTAAGGTCCGTGTACTTCTCCACCTTCCCTTCCCTCTCCTTCCCTCCACCTTCCCTCCCCCACCTCCCTCCTCTCCCCTTCCCTCCTCACCCACCCATCCCTCCCTCCCCTTCCCTCCCACCCACCCACCCCCCCCCCAAACCCAAACCCCCCACATACCTTCGGCAACTTAAGGTCCGTGTACTTCTCCTTGAGGTAGCCCTGTTTGTAGGCCACGTGGAAGTCGTTCCTCACCAAGTCCACCACCTCCCCTTCTCCCCCTCCCGTCCCCCATTCCCTCCATCCCACATACCTTCGGGCAACTTAAGGTCCGTGTACTTCTCCACTTCCCTTCCCTCTCCTCCCCTTCCTTCCCTCGCCCTCCCCACCTCCACACCGTCCCTTCCCCCCCCTTCCCTCCCTCCCCGTCTCCCACCCACCTTCCCCTCCCTCACACCCACCCTCCCACCCTCCCCCCCAAACCCCCCACATACCTTCGGCAACTTAAGGTCCGTGTACTTCTCCTTGAGGTAGCCCTGTTTTGTAGGCCACGTGGAAGTCGTCCCTCACCAAGTCCACCAAGATGGGGTCGTCACCGAGGAGTTCCTCTTCGGTCCCGATCGCCTCGTACTTGCCTTCGTGTTCCTTGGTGGGAGGAAGGAAGGAGGGAGGAGAGGAGGGAGGGAGGGAGGGTGGAGGAAGGAGGGTGAGGGAGGGAGATGGAGGGAGGAGGGAGGGAGGGAGGAGGAGGGGAGGGAGGAGGAGAGGGAGATGGAGGAAGGAGGAGGGGAAGGAGGGAGATGGAGGGAGAGAGGGAGGGGGGGAGAGAGAGAAAAGGGGGAGAAGAGGGAGGAAGGGAGGGAGGGACGGGAAAGGAGGGAAGGAAGAAGAGGCAGGAGGAGGGAGGAGGGAAGAGAGAAGAGGCAGGAGGAGGGAAAAGGAAGGAAGAAGAGGCAGGGAAAGGAGGGAAGGAAAAGAGCAGGAGGAGGGAGGAGGGAGGGAGGAAGAGAGAGAGAGACAGAGGTTAAATGTCGACTTAAGTGAATTATTTGTTTTTAAGAAATTTAGATAGTTCAAGAGTGTAACCATACACACACACACACACACACACACACACACACACAAACACACACACACACAACAACCCCCTCCTACACACACAACTCCCGACACACACACAACCCCACCCACCCCCCACCCCAACACACAACCCCAACCCACCCCACCCACACCCACACCCACAACCCCACCACACTCACAATGCCATCATGATCAGTGTAAGCCAGCTGGATTTGCATCTTCCCTTCAGCCACTTTCGTCATGATCCAATCCACGATCTCCTGGTTGGGTTTCTGGAACTTGGTGTTCTTGATCTCAGCTCTCTGGTAGTGCTTGCAGGCTTTGACCGGGAAGACACTGCCACCGGAGTTGAGGTAGTTGCTGACGAAGCAATTCTTGTTGAGGGTTTTGCACAGGTAGAAGGATCTGTTGGGGAGAAGGGGAGGAGAAGGGGGTTTTGAAAATAGGGTGTGTGGTGATGTGTTTGTTTTTTGTTAGTTTTTCTTCTTTTTGTTTTTTTGTCTTTCTTTCTTCTCTTATCTTCTCTTCTTCTTCTTCTCTCTCTCTCTCTCTCTCATCTCTCTCTCTCTCTCCTCTCTCCACTCTCCTCTCTCCTCTCTCTCTTCTCTCCGACACTCTTCTCTCTCTCTCTCTCTCTCCTCTCTCTCTCTCTCTGTCACTCACGTACTCTTCTACTCCCTCTCTCACTCACCTCCCTCTCTCACTCACATACCTCTCTCAAAACTCACTCACTCACCTCACTCATCACACAATCAGCTCTAACATCACTCACTCACTCACTCACCACTCACTCCTCTTCTCTCATCTCTCACATCCCTCTCTCTCCCTCTCTCTCTCCTCTCTCTCGCCCTCTCTCATCTCTCTCTCGTCTCTCTCTTCTCTCTCTCCCTCCCTCCGTCCCTCCCTCCCCTCCCCTCTCATCTCTCTCTCCTCCTCTCCCCTCTACATCTCCTCTTTCATCCCTCCCTCCTTCTCTCTCTCCCTCCTCCTTCTCTCTCTCCTCCTCCTCTCTCTCTCCCTCCCTGCCCTCCTCCTCTCTCTCTTCCTCCCTCAGCTCTCTCTCCCCTCTCTCTCTCTCTCTCTCTCTCTCTCTCCTCTCTCTCTCTCCTCTCTCTCCCTCCTCCTCCCTTTCCTCCTCCTCTCCTCTCTCCTCTCTCTCTCTCTCTCTCTCCTCTCTCTCCCCTCTCTGCTCTCTCCTCTCTCTCTTCTCTCTCTCTCCTTTTCTTTCTCTCCTCTTTCTACTCTCTCCGTCTTTCTCTCAATCTCTCTCTCTCTCTCTCTCTCTCTACCCTCTCTCTCTCTCATCGTCCTCTCTCTCTCTCTCTCTCTCTCTTCTCTCATCTCTCTCTCCTCCATCCACCCTCTCTTCTCCCCAAGAACTCAATCTCTTTCCATCTTCTCTCCTCTCTCTGCATCCTCTCTCTCTCATCACCCCTCTCTCTCGTCTACTCCTCATCCCTCACTCCTCCTCACATCTCTCTTATCTCTTTCCTCCTCACCTCCTTTCATATTACTCTTCTCTCTTTCGTTCTTCATTCCTGCGTCTCTACCCCTCTCATCTCTCACCCTCGTCTCTCCCTCTCTCTCACCTCACCTGCCAGTCCTCCTCCCCCACCCCATTCTCCCCCTCAATCCCCTCTCTCTCCTCTCTCTCTCTCTCATCTCCCTGCAATCTCTCTTCTCTCTCCTGTCTCCCTCCCCTCCTCCTGTCTGGTTCCCTCTCCCTCCCTCCCTCTCTCTTTCTCCCTCCTCCCTCACTCTCTTCTTCCTCTCTACCGCTTCCCATCCTCCTCTCTTTCCTTCCTCCCTCCCCTCTTCTCTCCTTTCCCCGTCCCTCCCTCCTCTCTTCTCCTCCTTCCCTCTCCTCTTTCTCCTTTTTCCCTCTCCCTCCTCTCTCCTCATTCCCAAATCTCCACACATTCCAAAGCGGGCCGACACAGCGGCCGAAAAAGGAGGATATGGTTACTTCACCTGGCAATAAAGCCCGGTATGAATATTGTCAACCTTGTCTTGCAATAAAGCTTCTATTAATATTGTCCCCCCAACCCCGTGTCATTGATAAGCCTGTATTAATATTGTTACGTGTCATTGCATACAGCCTAATATGAATATGCACCGTAGTCATCTGCAAATAAAGCCTTTATTGATAATTTGTCACCGTGTCATTGCATAAACCGTTATTAATATTGTTACCGTGTCATTCGCAAACAAAGCCTGTTATTTTGATATTGTTACCGGCTGGTCATTATTAATTATTGTCCACCTGTCATTGCATAAATAAGCCTGTTATTGAAAGTTGGTTACCTGTCATGCAGATACACCGTTTTATATAAATTATTATTACGTGTCATTGCAAAATAAGAGAGCCTGTTACTGAAATGAAATTGTACACTATGTCATCTAAGCATAAAGGCTGTCATTGATATTTGGGTATCATGTCATCTTCAGCTGGCAAATAAAACCCTGTTATTGGATCATTGTTAACGATGTCATTGGCAAATAAGCCTGTTATATTAATATTGTTATCGTGTCAATTGCAAAAAACTCCCGTTATAAATATTGTTACCCCTGTCAATTGCAAATAAAGGCCTGTTATTGAGTATTGTCATCTTGTTCATTGGGCAATAAAGCCTGTTATTTCATTAATATTGTTACCACTGTCATTGCAGAATAAAAGCCTGTTATTAATATTTGTTACGTCATGCCAATAAAAGCCTGTTATTAAAAAATATTGGTTGTTACGTGTCATTCGCCACATAAGCCTGTTATTAATTATTGTACCTCGCTCATTCGCACATCAAGCCCTTATTTAAATCCACTTCGTTCTTGCGTCATCATCCTAATCCATCCGTCCCACCGTGTCGATTGCAATACAAGGCCTGTTTATCTAGATAATTCGTCCACCGTCATGTCATTCGCACCATACACAGCCCTCCGCCTCTATTAATATTCGTCCACGCCCATGTCATTGGGCACAATAAAACCCTGTTATTCATACTCTCGCGCTCACACTCACTGTTACACCTTCATTGCAATAAGCCTGTTATTAATATTGTTACCTGTCATGTAATAAGCCTGTTATTATATTGTTACCGCCGCCTTCATTCTTAATATCGTCACTCGCTCATTGGCCCCACTCCCACACCCGCTCGTTATTAATTATTGGTCACTGTCATTGCAATCAAGGCCTGTTATTAATATTGTCAGACCTGGTCTTGCAATAAAGCCTGTTATTAATATTGTTTACTGTCATTGCCAATAACAGGCCTGTTATTAAATGATTGTCACCGTCGAATGTTGCGAATAAAAACCTCGTTATTAAAAATGAAATGGTACCCTGTCCCTTTGCAATACCAAACCCTGTTTATTAAATATTGTTACACCCCTTGTCATGTGCAATAAGAGCCTGGTTATTAATATTGTTACCAGGCCTGTCATTGCAATAAAGCGGGCTGTTATTAAAATAATTTGTCACCTGTTCAATTGGAATAAAAGGCCTGTTATTGATGATTGTTTATTTACCTGTTCATTGCACATAAGGGTCTGTTATTGGAATATTCGAGTTACCTAGTATTGCAAATACAAGCCTGTTCATTAATATTGTTACCCTGTCATTATTAATGTGGTCACCGGTCATTGCATAGCAAGCCTGTCTATTATATTGTTCACCTGGTCATGGCAATAAAGCCCTGCTTGACTTAATTATGTCCCAACTGCTCCATTGATAAGCGCTGTTATTAATCGATTGCCACCTGCGTCTGCAATACCAGACTGTTATTAATAATCTGTTACCACCCAGTGTATAATATCAATACTTCCCCGTCACCTCTGTCCAATTGCAAATCAAGCCTGCTTCATTAATATTGGCTCTCGCTCATCACCCCCTCCTGTCCATTGCATAAACCTGTTATTAATATTGCGCCACAGCAATAAAC